ATTCTGAAAATATACCACATAACCAGAGTGCACACAGTGAATGAGTTGGGTTAAATGTCAGTATCATTATTTATCTAATCACATCACAGCATGGTGTTGTGAGATAAGGGAGTTACGCAGGTACTGTGGTGAAGTGAATGAATGAATGAACAGTTACGCGACTACAGCCTTGCTTGGTGTGGGAAGGAAAGCCTGCAGTATTGCAGGTCTAGGATGTGTAGGATGTCAGTATCCTGTTCTAGGGTTTGGTGCGGTAGCCTAGTAGTTAAAGGGTTTGCTCGTTGCGCCGAAGACGTAAGGATTCCATTCTCCACATGGGCACATTGCGTGCAGCCAATTTCTGGTGTGCCACGCCAAGATATTGCTGGAATATTGCTAAAAACGGCGTAAAGGTGAACTCAGTCACTCGCAGAGTACAGAATACACACTCACCCTTCCACACTCATAGATCTGGGTTTGAATTGGTCTTCAGCAACCCATGCTTGTCGTAAAGGCAACTAAAGGGTCGGGTGGTCAGGCTCGCTGGCTTTGTTGACACATGTCATCGTATCCCGATTGCGTAGATCGACGCTCATGCTGTTGATCACTGGATTGTCTGGTCTAGACTCCATTATTTCCAGACCGCCGTCATATTGCAGGAATATTGCTGAGTGCGGCGTAAAACAACACACCAGCCAACCATAAAACCGGTCAACATGATATTTTCTTTATGTGCATTTATCTAAAACAAATTTCCGGAACAAATCGAAGAAGACAAGTAACAAGTGATTTAAATTTTGAAATGTCGCCCCCACCCCCGCCCCAAAACCCAACAGATTTGTTCGCTTAATCGTTTTGTATTGGGGATAAGAAATCTATAAAAAGTATTGGTATGTTGTCGGAAAATGTGAAAACAATCAGGGCGAGGTCCGATTCAACCAACGACCATGTGTTTTGGTTTCAACACTTCACACTGTTTAGATGTTCCTATTCTCTTGTTCTGGAAAAGGGATTGTACAAAAATCTTAAATAACATTAACATGTTTACCCTTCTTTGTCATGGAAACCATGGATGACTGGCGTATCACAGCCGAGGAAAAACATAGCAACAGTGCCCAGTAAGGCTATAAAATGCATGGAGATGATCCACTTGAGGTAACCAACTCGGTCGGTTATCAGACGAGTCGTCAGAAGTCCCCCAGAGAAGACCCCGACGGTGGCGCTGATGAAAGTGCCGACCCCTGCAACACAGGTCGTGCGTGTGAGCGGCCTCGCTCTGTGTCTATATACCTCATGCCTCTACAATTGGTAGAGGATGATTAGTAACATATTCAACAGTTTTCATGACCCTGGTCAGCATCGGGAGAAATGTGTATTGAGGTTCATTGTGAAAAAATTACCCTCACTTTATGATGCGATTATATGTTTGAAAGATCTCCCCCGCGTCCTTGTGCATTTTGTTCATGTACAAAGACTAGATGCAAATTATAGATATTGTTTTCTCTTAATTGTCCATTTCACAATGTCTTTATACATACGTATGCATTTAATGAATGGGAGCGATCGAATAAGCAAGCTTGGTCTGAAGCCGCTCTTTGCAAAACTACATTTTGATCACAGCATTTGTTTTGATACTGAAGTTTAAAATACCTCTACAAAAAAATTGTTATGCTAAAGCAGTTACAGCTGACGGGAGAAAAGCATCGGTTTAGGAAATGAATTGAGGAATATGTGAACTGAATGGTACCCACCTAGGGCGATGTTTGTTTTGGATGCAGAGACCATGAACTGATTCTCGACATACTTGGATGTGAAGCTCTGACCTCCATTTGCATACCACGTAAACAGGAGGAGGCCGACAAGCATCAGACTGCAGACAGGATTCCTCAACACACGGAACACAGACCGGGGCAGTTCTGACGTCAACGCCATGTCATAGAGAATGGATTATTAGCATGGTTATCGTGGGCTGATAACGTCATACGGATCGTTGAATAAAGCAGTAAATTGTATAAAATCAACAAAACCAACAATACTCTAACTATGATACAAGAGACACGTAAGGATGTATAAATGTATTACTTAAGATTCGTCATGCCACGACTTTGAACCTCTTAAAACGTAGAATTATCACGCGGACATTAGCTACAACAAAGGATGAATCACAAAATGCCCCGCATCGGTGATTTTACAAAAAAGTGATTAGATGATACAATTGTGTAAACAGCCCACGGGGTCATGATGTATAATACGTGACAGTTTGTGAAATAATTCTTCAGTGTGTCGAGGCAGCACAGGCATGTTTCCTACGTGTAAGTAAACTTCAATACTATAGCAATCTTTCACCTTTTATTTTGGCCTTAATAGGAACATGCCCTTTGGGTGATTGTTTTTCTGTAGTTGGAACAATTTGTTTCGGGAAGAACAGTAAAGGTATTCCAGCGACGACACCCACGCAGCCGAACAGGAGAAATCCAATCCACCATGCTCCAATCCATTTGGGATGTCTTGGTGTCAGCACCGTGTCTAGAGAGACAAAAGAATGTTTTTATGATCAAGGACCAATCAACTTTGTTGCACAGGCAAACAACTGGAAGATGTCAGCATCTTTATCTGTCTTTATGTACTCACATATTTCAATCTACTGCTCTACAAGCTATTGGTCAGGTCAGGTATATTCATACTAAACTAATAATGTTGTCGATCTGAGAAGGTCACGATATCGACAGTTAAAAAATACCAATGTTTCATTTCACTCAACTCAACGAATATTGAATCAGTTGCTTCACTGCATGTTCCAACATGTCGTTTAAAGTGCCCATTAAGCACCCAAAAGTTGCATTTACCTTAGAGTATAAAAGACCTCACCACGTTTAAGTTTAAATATGCCACCTGCCTTGCATTCAACATGCGCTTCGAATGCCGCAATGAAACGTGACCATATCTCGTCAGTGTTTGGAGCTGGTAACATTTCTGGAGGCTTTTTCTCGTGCTCATCAGACCCACGGAGACCAAGGTGGAGTATGTTACTGAACAGAGTGTGTTTATTTGTGTATCTGGAGTCGAACTGCCTAAATGTTTAACCTCCCACCACTTTTCAAGTTCGCTGTCAGTAATAGCATCGGATCTGTTTGGTAAGTTCCCTTTTCCCATTGATTTTATCTGGTTTTGACGCGCTTTCATTATCTCCCGATACTGGGTGACTTCAACGTCATCTCTCAAAGAGCAACCATAGTTGTGACGTTGAAGTTATCTATCAATGTATGACCCGATTCCCCTCAAAGTATTTGTCTCAAATTCACAAGAACTCAAGAACTGTATTGAGTTCCTTTGGTTGACTTTCTCTAAATGAGGCGAATCTCGGCAATGAAGAATGTATAATGACTGACAAGTTTAATGTCATGAAGGGTTTTCCTGGCAGTGTTTTTGTTTTCTTGAAACTGTATTGATTTGTCAATATCTGTGTCATCCACGTCAACAAACAGTGAGTCAGACATAGAACCTAGTGGCGCAATTGACGCTAACGCTGCCTTCTGTCCACCTGAATTCTTGAAGTGCCGAGAAGCTTCACACGTGTCTCCATCAGTTCCATTTTGTAATCAATCCCATCGAACGTACACAGGTAATTTCATTCACCAACCTATTTCACAACAGTAGCTTGCCCCGAACCGTCTATTGATACTTTGTCACCTGGATAAAACCCTTTGATCTCAATGACAGACGCTATGATTGTTTATATTTACCTTCAGAGAAAGATAGTCCCTATATGGTCAAGGTCACCTGATCAATCATTGAATGAGTGAGTGAGTTAAAATTTACAGTCACTTAGGCAAGATTTCAGCCATATCGTGACTAAAACAGTAATAATTTTATTTAATAAAATATGTCGCCAAAGGACAGTAAAACAACTAATATATCACAGTTAGAGATTTAAAACTAGCATGTAACTTAAAATTACATACCATTTAGGACATTACAACATAAAAATGGGCTATAGATCGCTGACCAATCAATGATGAAAGATGATCTACATTGTAAATATCGCTTGATCTCACACAAGCGATCTCTACTGTGGGACCCAGTTTTTGATAAATTGCAATGCATTGACTGGAAGGTTTCTATCCAAGTGCGTACATCATACATTCATTTAGCTCTCTGTGCGCGACATCATCTTTCCCATTGTGTATAGCTGTATACCAACGGTTTACAGACATATAAAATGATATATATCTTAACGTGGAATTTTTAATTGAAGTATTACAACAAAGTGTTGCGAACATAATTATAAAGGTAACAGTACAACATGGTTTTCATGGTCAGTGTTATTTCCTTCAACCGAATGCACAACAAATGCAGTATGTAATTATTCTTACTGTATGTCAGTGATGCGTTCAAATTCAACTCCAACATAAACATGTGTTTACATGAACTTTTGCAAAATGAAACAAAAACATGATTTAGGTGAACCATTTGAGCTTAAAATCTCATGTGACCTCCAATAACTAAGGTCCTTCACTAGGATATACAGTTCTACAAACATTATTAGACTAAGGCCGTTATTGTGGCGGATGTATAATATTGTATTTTTACAGTCATGTATATATTAGTTTTAATATTATTAATTTTATGAATGTTAACAGTTACATTGCAGTTTCAGGGATATCATTTCATATTTGGATATTTATGGATTATGTGTATATTAACTGTCACTTTGCATTGCAGGTATAATATTTCTTATTTATAGTAATGAATGTTTTTTTATCAACGGGTCTGTTCATTTTGAAACTGACTATACTCATCTTAAAGCATGTCTATTAATAGCTATGTAGTCAGTGCTATTCTTGTTTAATTAAGGGTGGTTAGATAGGGTCATTACATTATTATGTGCCCTCAGTTGATCCAATCTGATTGGATCATTCAAACTCTTGCCCTCTTTTACTAATTCAATCTTCACTTCACTGCCAATGCTTGCACCGACAAGACGTTTATCCCGTGCTGGAATTTATCTACTTTATAAGATCACCACAGGTCAGTTGAATCTTTTATATCGATTAATCAGTGTGTATACCTTTAAATGTTATATTGTTAATGCTTATGTGTAAATATAAACTGTAACTTGTGTGTAAGTGTACAAGTTAGGTTTAGCTTGTTAGGGTCACTAAGCTAAATTGCAATCCAATAATCTTTTAGTATCCAAATAAATGATTCAGTTCATTAAAGTGTTTTCTCTCTCCTATGAGTGAATGGTTACATATTTGCACGTTTGACTGATTGATTTTATAAATGAGAGAAAGTATAGTGTGTATGTGAATGTAAATATGACTGCGATATAAGTTTGAACCGCTTATATTATATCCTAGGTTTTTGAAATGGTAGAATATATATATATATATTTAGTTTAAGCTATTGCAGCTTTAACGTTGATCATTGTTTATACAGATTGTACGTACGCTTGACTGGCTTGGCGGCTTGACAGGGCCGTAATCTGCACCCTAGTGCCATACACCGGGTAGGCATTACATTGTGGTTGATTGTATGTATTTATGTAGCATTGTATATACATACTTTATATTTTCTATCTGGGCATGTTTATAGGATTTATATGCCTCTACCTTAACTATGTTTGTCATTAATATGTAATCAGTAAATCAAGGAGTGATCGCCCCTTGTAGTTTATTTGTCTAGAATGTGTGTCATAGTAGTATTTCATCTAAAGGATGTGATGACGGATTTTAAATCTTATGTATATATTATGACTTTGTATTTATTGAACCGTGTATTGTTTCAGGGTGTTGTTAATATTGGAATAAAAGGTCTCACCCCCGTAACCAGTGTCCTGGATAATTTTGTTGACATCCGCTCACTATCCCGGTTACAAAATGGAGCCCCCAGTGAGGACTAACATTCCATAGGACAGTACAGCCAAGAGGGTACAGTCAACAGAGCCAGCCAGTCAACAGATTCCACGCCAGGTGATCATTGTTCCCGGTTACATTATGATAAATTGATAATATATGTCCCATTATGAAACAAACGACAATACCCAAATAATGTGAATAGTGAAATGGCCAATGTCTCCAAATTGTCACATATGAAACCATTCAAACCCACAAAACTTAAAGCATTTGGTAGAATATTTGGCCCATTTGGAGCCACTAATAAAGATGCTTCCACTTATAAAATGTTACATGAAACCAACAGAAATACAAATATATATATTCTAGATTCGGACTGAAGTCTTGAAAAGTATAACTTTTTTGTAAAATATGATAGAAAGTATGAAACTTAAAACTAGTTAAAATTAAGGCACACTCTTCCACGGTAATCTCTGTCAAACTGTAATAAACCGTCAACGTTATCCACATAAGTGGAGACCGCCTCCGTCGTGTAGTGGTTAGAGCGTCCGCCCGAAGAGCGGAAGGTCGTGGGTTCGATCCCCGACCGCGTCATACCAAAAGACGTTAAAATATGGTACTTGTTGGTCCCTGCCTGGCGCTCGGCATTAATGGGTACAACAAGGACTGGTCGGCTCGGAGTCAGTATAATGTGTCTGAGCGGGGTATTCCTGCTTCACTGCGGCATAGTATCTCAGTGGGCTAGCATTATAAAACCAGCTTAAGTCTGGACTAGTACAAGCAGCCACACATACACATACACACGCATGCACGTTGTCATATGAGCGAAATATTCTCAAGCACGACGTAAAACCTAATTTGACCTCACCTCACATAAGTGGAAATGAACCTATCACCACAAAATAAATGGTTAAACTAAACTTGATAATTCTAAGGGAAGTATTTCTGAATAACCCTATATATTACACAATCTGAACCATATCTCGATATTCGTATTGCGAGATACTGTACCGATTCACCGGTAATATTTGCACAGCCCTGTAAACTATATACATGTAATTGACATACGTATCGTTTAGCTGTAAAAATAGTGATCTAAATTCAGATTCGTTGTCAAATACTCCATGATTTTCAATATCCTTTCGTCAAAGTGTTTTTTAATCCATTTCATGTAATATGTATTTCATGCACAGTCGAATGTTCGTCAAAGGGTGATAACTGCATTAAAATCTGTGTACCTCGGACTGCTGTCTAATTCGGACTTTTTAGTCGGTCCCAAGCCGGTCCGAATTAGACAGAGTGCACTGTACGTGTTAGCATATCATGTATATATAATATTACTCTTATTGGGAAGTTAACTAACGAGGAGAAAATGGCGTTTGATTTTACAATGATGTGGCAGATGGTAGGACTGAGACCCCGAGGCAAGGTTAACAATAACAATGCTTTCTCGTCTTACTCGGTTCTGATTGACGGAATGTGTTCACGTATAAAAAATGATTGAAAGAATGTATTCAGGTATGAAACAAATGCAACTGTCGCAAACTGACCTTGCAGATCAACAGGGATGGTTCTAAACACGCCTCCTAATACCACTGCACTTGCAGGCCCAAACACTGTTAACGCGGCGGCGATACCTGCACAACAACAGAAGCAAAGTAAGGATGAGACAAGGATCTATGTAAGGATGTCAGAAGGATATATGTAAGGATGTCAGGAGCATCAGTATAAGGGTAACAAATGTAGCAATATGAGGATAAAACAAGGGCCAATATATGCATAAAGCAAGCATCAATGCAATGTGCGGATAGTACAAATATCAAAGAAAAGTGTTTTTTGTTTGTTCTTTAACGCCAAACTCGGCAATATTCCAGCTATATGGCAGCAGTATGTCAATAATCTGGACCAGATAATCCAGTGATCAACATCATAGGCATCGATGTACGCAGCTGGGATACGATGACGTGTGTCAACCAAGTCAGCGATACTGACCACCCGATCACGTCAAGCATCGGATGCTAAAGACCAATTCTAACCAGGATGCTAACGTGTCAATAATAGGATAGCAGCAGCAGGAAGGTAAAACTTACATGAAAGCAATGTAAGGACAACACAACCACCAATGTTCCGTTAACACAAGCAGCAGCTAAGACATATTGTGTCATGTTTTATGCGTGTGTAACGGCCTGAACTTGCGTGAATGTCACCGATCGAACTACTCGATAGTCAAATAGTTCAATTGAAACGTGTTTATATTTCTAGAAGTATGAAGGGAGAATATTCCAAATTTGAGCATCGACAATATCGAAGAAATAATGACATTAACATTAAGTAATTCAAAGTAAGCGATATAAGACATTGTCAGAGACCGGTCAAAAGCCATGTAACACATGTTCTATTTGGGATAACAATATTTTCTTTTCATATCTTTTTGGGATACTACCGAGCATGCTATCTGTACAATGACTTCACGGAGCATCATATGACTCTTGCTGAGTATGTGTTATAACTTGTAAAGTCTCAGAAAAGACGGTTTAAAGGTAGACAAATGAGGAGGATATTTACAAATGTAAAGCATCAGTGACATCAATTATAAATTATTTCCTACGCAAATAATTATATTGGCGTGTTCCAGATATTCCCGTATTCTGAGATAAACAACTGACATGCTTTCGCATTTGGATGCCGCAGTTGGCACTGGATAATCTCACCTAAACTCGCCATTATTTGATAGTGGTTCATAAACAGAAGCTGGTATTGTTGGAACCGAACAATACACCCTGTTTCAGCAAATAGTTCTTATTATTTTTGAAAAGACTTTTTGTTGCTTCGATTTTGATTAGATTTGTTCTTACCGAGGTAAAGTCCAGTTTTGGTCTTGATGGGATTGTTGTCATCTATGTAAGCAGTTGACAGACCCAACCGCGGCGATTTTCCAATACCTTGAAGAATCATACTGGCACCCAAAAGCCAGACAACCCATTGTGTACTGCCAGAATCACTGGTTGCACCCTCTTCACCACATCCATCTGACGTCGTGTTGCCCGGGTCACACAGAGGGGCAACGAAACCCTGGTCCAATGATGAATTCCTAAGATTCTCCGTTGAAAGCTTTGGTAACTGGTAGGGATCAATGAAGTAGCACAGACTTGTGAAAATACCTGAGATGCCATACAGCATGGTACAAAAAGAGATGATTCGTGGAATATGGCCGTAACTTCCAAAATGACTACTGAAAAGAACGGCACAGACAAAACCTATGTCATTGCAGCTAAGGATAATACCAGTCGTTGTACTGCTCATACTGAACTGCTTTTCCAGGGCTGTAACTTGTGAGACAATGTAAATACTCAACGACTGTGAAATCATGGCTGCGAGGCCCAAGAATATGGAAAATGATAAGACATTTTTGAAACGTTGTAGAGCTTGAGGACGATATGACCCAACTCCACAATGTGCCCCCAGTACTTCATTGTCATGTGCTGGTTTTGCATTATCCACAGACGTCGTCGTCTGCAATGTGGTCATATTCTGGAAGATGAAAGAGTGGGTATCATGCACCTGGTAGTTCGTCGTGAGGGAAGACATATAAACCTTCTAACGTCATGAATCTAATAAATCAAAACCTTCAGCCAAACATTATTATTAATCATTATTATGAGAGTGAATATTGTCGCCATATACATACCATGGGAACGAATAAATATTTATCGTCACGTTGGCAATATTCGTGCCATATCGAGATGAAAACAATTAATTATTGTATTATTGATAATAATATACAGTCACACTCACTCGACAAACCAACTCGGATGATTTGTGTCATAATTTTGGACACCTGAATAAAAAGAAGAGGTGTTTATTTTGTTGCCACTTTTCTTATTCTTATTGGTAGATTAGTTGGTTCATTTCAGATTTCCTAAGTTTTGTTGATGTGAGATCCATCTGTGGTCTCACCAACTACTAAGGAGGAAAGGAGATATGGTTTCAAAACTGATATTAGTGGCAGAAGTGAAAGGTTTAATTCGTATTCCAAGTGGTGGAATAAGTACCGATTTTCTATAATATTGATCCTCATAAAGGAGATTACTCACACAGCTGTATGATGGATTGGATGTAGTTTTGTTATATTTACATTGGCGATTTTAATGCGCACTTTGATGACGATAAGACACCAGGAATGCAGAAAATGAAATAACTTTTTTCTTTCCTTTGTCTTAAACAGCACATTTGTCAGGTCATATATTAGATTGACTAATAACGTCCAGTGGCAATCTCATAGACAGTTTTCACCACACAAAATGACTGTATTAAGCAAATTTACTAACGTCAGGAAATACTCGTTTCATCCAGCGGCCATATGAACAACGTTTGAAATCTACGTATCATCTGGCCGTCAGATTTACACACGTTTAAAGGGGTGTTAAAATAAACCAACATTCAACTCTGCATTTACATGTATTTCACAGGTGTGTAAATCTGGCCATTGTTTTCATGTGTTTCCTAACAAGTGTAACATATGTAAATGCTGTGATTGTAGGACATGCATTTCACTACCCTTGAAATCTCGTATGACCAGGGTTAGATTTGTCATATATTTAGTACATGCGTAAATGGTTGGAAATGGGTAAGTTTCGTGTTACATGATTAGCACTACTTTAACATGTATTTCAATGGTTCTGTAATGTAACTGTCACATAGGGTTCGTAAGCGCGTCCGACCACGCCATAATGTACTGAGATAATTAGAAACACATGGTGAAGTGATACCCATGACTGAGCACCACTAATAACTTGCGTGTCTTTCTTGACATACACATTGTGTCTGTTTAAAAGGTTCAAATATCGGGTCTATGGGCCAGAGCGATATGTGAGTTAGGGAGTGTGCGAGGGAGAGGGTGTGGCATGGGGTAGGCCTAGGGTGGGGTGGTGGGGTGGTGGCGGTGGCGGTGGGTCGGTGTTGGGGTACTGATA